ACAACAATAAGAGCAGCTTCACCCCAAAACTTTTCAGGTAAAGAAGTAGAAAGTAAAAGAGCTCTTACAATATCAAGGATATGATGATGTTTTCATTCGACACGACCATTTTGTTGAGAGGTATAGGGACAAGAACGATGTGACAGTGTGCCTTGTTGATTCAGAAACTCAAGGAGAGTTTTGTCATTATTCCATGGCATTATCTGAACGAAAAACTTTAATGGTACGAGAAATTGAGTTTGTACCATTTTGTGAAAAGTTTGGGAAACACGAACAAGCTCAAATCGATGCTATAACAAGTATAGCCATGTATAACGAGAATAGTCATCAACAAAGATAACAAAATAATGAAATCCCCCCTCAGTATGAGTGGGGCCAGGACCCCAAATATCATAGTGAATCTAATCAAAAGGTGCAGTCGAAAAAGAGTCACTTATATTAAAAGATAAATGAGTTTATTTGCCAAGTTGACAAGAAACACAATCAAAAAACTCAAAACCTATAGAACCTAGGTGACTTGGGGGCCAAAAGACGAACACGAGGTATAGAGGCATTACCCAACCGAGAATGCCATAATTAGGAAGAGATGGCAGGAGCAACAATGGAGCGAGATAGATGGGATGGAAGCTGCAAAGAAGCAAGCTCGAACAGACGTCTAATCTTATGACCTGTCCCAATGAGTTGACCCATCTATGGATCTTGCACATTAACACCAGCATTAGAAAAGGTAAGCTGAAGACTTAATTCACAAAGTTGACCAACTTAAAGGAGATTTAAGGATAACTTGGGAACAAGATAGGTGTTGTCAATTTGACTAACAGATAAATGAGAACCATCAGCAATATATATGATAGGATTGGGTGATAAAGTAGATTTTTGTGAAAAAATGGTGGAATCAGAGGTCATGTGATTACAACATGCAGAATAAAAAAACCAAGGAGATGCACCTGAGGTGACAGACAAAGCATTAGAAGACCGGGATAAAACATGATGAATTAAAGCCTCAATGTCAATAGCAATGAGAGTAGTGGACACTGAAGAAGGCTCAGCAGCAGACTCAAGAGCAGAAGGAGCCACGGCAGCAGCTTGCAACAAGGGGGCCCGAGACTGATTTCTATTCTGCAATTTTTGACATTCCGTAATAGAGTGACTTGGACATTTTCAGTATTTCCAGAAGACAGTCTTTGAGGACTGAGAAGGAAAACGACCTAAGGCTAGAGAAGATCCAAAGGTAGTCTGAGGGATGGCAAACTGAATCTGGAGTTTGCATCTTCATGGTTGAATGACGATTTTCTTAGGAAATAAGTTCACCAACTGCAGTCTCAAGAGTGGGAAGAGGTGTGCGATGCAAAAGAGAGGCCCGAGTAGATTCAAAATCCTCAGGAAGTGCCATCATAAAATGCATAAACTTACGACGATCACGGTAGGTTGCAAACAATGCAATGTCATCAGAACATTTGAGGTGAGGATCTACAGCAGACAAATATTCCCAAAGATTATCAACTTGAGAATAGAAATCAGCAATGGACTAACCTGATTTGTGACGCATCTGATAAAGCTTAGTCTCAAGCTAGAACTACAATGAGGCATTATGAGTACAGTTGTATCAATTAGCAAGAAAATTCCAAGCAGCTTGAGCATTACCAAGCTTGAGAAGCAGGCTATGGATGGATGGGACAAAAGTATTGATAAACCAAGACAATATTGTGTACTGAATACTATGCCAATCTTCAAGCCAACATGCAAACTTATCAAGACTCTCACCATCTTATTGCTTGGGGGCAAGAATATCACCAGAAAAATAACACCACAATTTTCGTCCTCTAAGAAATACTTCCATATTTTGAGCCCACATATTATAATTTGAGCCATCTAAAATGTTATCAATAGGACGAACAACGGTACCAAGGTTGGGAGAGGAGTGAGACATACTATTTTTTTTTTTTTTTTTTTTTGTGGTCAATGGTCAACGAGTAACGGGTGGACCTAGGTTGGACTTTGAATCAAATGGGCTGATTTATAGAAGAAAGAAAAATGGGCTGGGAAGGCTTACTTGGATTGGGCTTGAAGTTGGCTGTAACAAGCTTGATATTTCTGCTGGAGATATGTGGCACATGGTTAAACATGTAGAATATTCAGGAGGTGTGTGGGGGTGCGTGCGAAAGCGTATCAGGAAAATCTTAACACAGAAACACCGATACAATTTTCAAGACTCTGTTTATGATCAGATTTGATAAAAAAAAAAAAAAAGGGAGCAAAAATCAGATGTAAAACCCTGAAAATCCCATTGTCAGTAGAGGAAAATGTCAGTATAGGGAAAGCCAAGATTGGTGCAGAAGGAAATATCAATGAAACGGCTTGCACGGACAGGAAGATCAGAGGAGTGGCTCTGATACCACATTGAAATAAATAGAGTTTTGAGGAATCATATGATTGTATATTTCTATGTGTCTAAACTATACAAAGAAGGCCTCTATATATAGTGGAGAAGGCCAACGTTAATAAGGAAATACACTATATGGGAAGATTCTAACCTAGCATAATTACAGGAAATTATAGCTTAATTACAGGAAAAATCATATATTCTAGGGATATTAATAGATATACTAACAGCTACCATGTCGGGTTTGTGAGACAGAGTTTGTGAGATTCTTTTATCAACCGATCTTTATTGTTAATTTTATAGGATCCGGCTGTTCACCTAATTAAATTTTACCGATTTACCCACTGTTTACAGAGGATTTTCAAGATCACCGTAAACAAATCCCATCTCATATAAATTTATACTAAAGCAAGTCTTTAAATATGCATATATGTCATTGCCAAGCACTTTTCATTAGCTTTAGCATCAAATTAATTTGTCCCTTCTTATCACTTTGTTAATGTGTGATTAGAAGACTTCACTACTTTTTGAAGATTAATTGAAGCTTGCTCCATCAGGTCCAATGAAAAAACATAAAAATGATTAAACAATTAAACATAGTACATATCTTTGGCCAACATGCATTCACATTTGTACCAGGAAGTCATAAAAATGAGTAGCTCTATACCAATATACAATATTTCGGCTAATTTCATAAACTATCCTCCGATTTTTAATATACGATATCTAGTCATGATTACAAAAAAAATTAAAAAAATAAATATTTAATGAAACAAAAACGTCTTTAATAAGATGAAAAATCTATTGAAATGATTTAAAAAGTTGTAAGACGATTAAAACTGTTTTCTTCTAATTCTTTTGTAATGTAAACAATTTTTCTAATTTTGAATATAAAAAATAATTAATATATTAATCAGATAAAATGTAAGCATAAATTATAACTTTAAAAAAAAATTATTATTATTTACTCTAGGCTTAGGCCTCCACGTACTTGCTTTGGGATTTCAAGCAAGCATGCTTTACTGAAAAAATCATACCCGATATATAAAAACTGTATACCAAATTAAGACCATACTAAAACAAACAAATTAACCTCAATAAAAATAATATATTTATACAGTAAAACCCCTCTATAGTCATAATAATGAGATCAACTAATTTTATTACTATGAGGAGGTTATAACTTAATCGAGGTGTAATTACAAAAATTATTGTTTTGATTTCTTATTTTATAAGTCATGTTTTAGTAATACAGTATTAGGATTTCAATTCATATTTTAGTAGTATTAAGATTTTAATTCAATACTTCAATTGCCTACTTTTGTAACGAATAGAAGATCATATCTTGATGCTAGCAAAGATAAGTGTCATTGATAGAACTATAAATATAGTTGACGCATGGTCAATTGATGTGAAGTCATAGACAATTGCCAATAGTTTTAAGAACTGCAAAATTAGGACCCCTAATGTCGATGAATTGCAAGTTACAAATGAAGTGGATGAGGAAAATAAAAGAGTCATTGTAGAATTGAGTTATCAGATTCGACAACTTCACTACACTAATTGAATAGTTATTAATTTATTCCTCGATCATCTAAATGAGCAAAAAATTGTGTATGTTTTTACTGAAGAAGAAATTATTGCTGCAATTAGACAAGAAGAGAAATGAAATAATCTTGAAGATGATAGTACGAAAATACAAAAATACAAAAAAAAAAAAAAAATTTATGTCATGAACCTCTAAACATACTTGAGAAGTTAAAAATATTTTGGCTTCAACAAGAAGGTGTCCATACTAGCTATTTATTATGTACTAACAAGTTAAAATATGTGATAGCAATTCTAAAGCATAAATCGTTGTCTCAAACAACTTTAGATAAATATTTTATTTTATCTTAAACTTTTAATGTAACATAATTTTTTTTTTTTTTTGTAATATACAGATAATTATTACTATGTGAAGGCAACTTTTCTTAAAGTAGGAATTAGAAAAATTATAACTTATTACAATATGAAATTTATTCGTATTTATAACTATCTCAAATTGGAACTAGAATTTTTTATGACTATTCATATATTGAGTATCATTATAAAGAGGTTTTACTCTCTCTCTCTCTCTCTCTCTCATATATATATAACAAATTTATCTCTAGCAAAACCTTATATAATAATGTATGTGCAATTTTTGTATGTCAAGGGTGTTGGACGTATGTTTATGAAAGAGTTAATAAAGAAATTTTTAATCGTTGGGTTGGTGAACGCAAGATGTTGACACATAAACAAAACCCATCATGATAATTTTGTATTAAAGCAAGTCGTTAAAAGAGCATATATGCCATTGCCATGCACTTTCATTGTTACCATCATAATCAGTTTGTTTAATTAGAATTTAGAAGACTTCACTATTTTCAGAAGATTAGGTCAATCATGCTCCACTCTAAGTCCAATGAAAAAAACAAAAATCCTTAAAAACAGCTAAAACATAGTACATAGTTTGACCCACATCCATAATGTATTCACATTTGTGCAAGGAAGTCATGAGTTGGTCTAGGAAAATATTATATATTTCACTTTAATAAATTGTGCGTTATGATTCATCTTCCACAAAGTTCTGAAAATGCAGATGGGTTTCATATATTTGCTTTGTTTGGTTTCTATTTTGCTTATAAACATTGGTGTATCTAAAGGAACTATATGTTATGACATAGGGAATTTCACAAATAATAGTACCTATGAGAAGAACAGGAACCTGATTCTCTCATCTCTTGCTTCTAATGTCATTCTACATGATGGTTTTTTTTACACTGCAAGTGTTGGCCAAGAGCCTGACAAAGTTTATGCTCTTGCTCTTTGTAGAGGAGATTCTTCTNCTCAAATTGGAACTAGAATTTTTTATGACTATTCATATATTGAGTATCATTATAAAGAGGTTTTACTCTCTCTCTCTCTCTCTCTCTCATATATATATAACAAATTTATCTCTAGCAAAACCTTATATAATAATGTATGTGCAATTTTTGTATGTCAAGGGTGTTGGACGTATGTTTATGAAAGAGTTAATAAAGAAATTTTTAATCGTTGGGTTGGTGAACGCAAGATGTTGACACATAAACAAAACCCATCATGATAATTTTGTATTAAAGCAAGTCGTTAAAAGAGCATATATGCCATTGCCATGCACTTTCATTGTTACCATCATAATCAGTTTGTTTAATTAGAATTTAGAAGACTTCACTATTTTCAGAAGATTAGGTCGATCATGCTCCACTATAAGTCCAATGAGAAAAACAAAAATCCTTAAAAACAGCTAAAACATAGTACATAGTTTGACCCACATCCATAATGTATTCACATTTGTGCAAGGAAGTCATGAGTTGCTCCACATCCATAATGTATTCACATTTGTGCAAGGAAGTCATGAGTTGCTCTAGGAAAATATTATATATTTCACTTTAATAAATTGTGCATTATGATTCATCTTCCACAAAGTTCTGAAAATGCAGATGGGTTTCATATATTTGCTTTGTTTGGTTTCTATTTTGCTTATAAACATTGGTGTATCTAAAGGAACTATATGTTATTACATAGGGAATTTCACAAATAATAGTACCTATGAGAAGAACAGGAACTTGATTCTCTCATCTCTTGCTTCTAATGTCATTCTACATGATGGTTTTTTTTACACTGCAAGTGTTGGCCAAGAGCCTGACAAAGTTTATGCTCTTGCTCTTTGTAGAGGAGATTCTTCTACAGAACAGTGTGTCAGTGGTGTCAGTTATATGGCCGAAGATATCATGAAGCAATGTTTGAACCAGAAAGAAGCAGTTGCATGGGGAAAGGGTCCTTAATGCATTGTACACAATTCAGACCATTCGATTTTCGGAAAAAATGGAGGCGGATCCTGTTGAACAATAAAGACGAAGTTGGTTAGCTGATGTTAAAGAATAAAGACGAAGTTAGTTAGCTATTATAGCTAAGTTAGTTAGCTGTTAAGAAGTTAGTTTCAAGTAGTTATTAGTTTGTTATAACGTTAGTTAATTAGTTAAGTCAGTTAATATTAGTTAAGTTTGTTGTAAGATTGCTGTATATAAAGAATACACTGTTGTACTCTGTTTTTTAATTCAAAATGAATTCAATATCATTTTTCCATAACTAAGTTAGTTTTATCATGGTATCAGAGCATTTTTGCTTCCTCTAAACACAAAATTTTTTTTCTTCCAATTTTTTTACTTTTCGCACTCTATCAATGGCGGCCTTAACATCCAATTCAACACAAGACATTTCCAATCCTTATTACCTTCATCCTAATGAAAATCCAGCTATTGTAATTGTTTCTCCAGTCCTTGCTGGTCCCAATTATCATACCTGGGCACGAGCTATGAAGATGGCATTGCTGTCCAAAAATAAGTTGAAGTTTGTTGATGGCTCTATTAAAGCCCCTTCATCCACTGATTCTCTGTTCTCTGTTTGAGAAAGATGCAACACCATGGTACTTTCTTGGCTCACTCATTCTCTTTCATTATCCATTACTAGTAGCATCTTATGGATAGATAAAGCTTATGATGTATGGGATGACATTCAAGAACGTTTTTCACAAGGAGATATTTTTAGAATTTCAAATTTACAAGAAGAGATTTATGGTTTTAAACAAGGGGATTGAAGTGTTACCAATTATTTCACCGAATTAAAAATTCTTTGGGATGAGTTGAAAAACTTAAGGCCACTTCCTGCATGTACCTGTGCCAGACCTTGTTCTTGTGGAGTATTGACAACTTTCAAGAAGTATCAAAATAGTGATTATGTCATTCGGTTTCTTAAAGGACTTAGTGATCAATTTGCTGTGGTCAGAACTCAAATCGTGCTCATGGATCCACTTTCTCCAATCAACAAAGTTTTTTCTTTAGTTTTGCAACAAGAAAGACAGATGAATTTTGGAGTTGCTAAAGTGTTTGTTAATAAAGCTGTTAAAGAAAATTCTCAAGCTAACAAATCATAGAACACTTGGAGGTTCAATCCAGCAAATTCACAACACAATGGAGATAATTGGTTTTGCACTTTCTATGGCAAACCGAGACATACTATTGAAACTTGCTATAAAAAGCATGGTTTCCCACCTGGTTACAAGTCCAAAAGTCACAATCCCACTGCTCATAATGTAACTGTGGAAGAAAATGGCACAGATCTTCCTATGCAATCCGATATCACTGTCAATAGTCAATAAGGTTCTGGTGTTTCTTTGACTCAAGATCAATACCATCAATTGCTTGCTTTGCTCCAATCATCCAATTCTGAGCAACCATCTCATGTGACTAACCAAGTTGTTGTTTCTCAACCACAGTCAACCCTTACATCTCATTTTTCTTCAGTTTCAGGTAAACATTTTGCTTTAACCTGTGCTAAATCTTCATTATGGATTGTAGATACAGGTGCAACAGATCACATTGCCCACTCTTTGTCTTCCTTCTATAAGCAAATCAAACCAATCTTAGTCACATTACCGAATGGTTCTAAAATCACTGCTCAATATTATGGGGTTGTAAGTCTCACTGAAAAATTGGTTCTTACAAATGTACTTTATATTCCTGAATTTTCCTTTAATCTGATATCTGCCACAAAATTAACATCCTCACTAAATTGTTGCCTGATCTTCCAACATTCTTATTGTTTAATCTAGGATCTGACTTTGTGGAAAACGATTGGTTTAGCTAAAGTGCATGATGGCCTATATGCAATGACAAAATCTTCTATTTCTACAGCTAGCCCTGTCCATCCGTCTGTCTCTTTAACATCAAGTACTGCATTGTTTGATATTTGGCATTATAGACTTGGCCACATATCTGATTCTAGAATAAAATACTTAGCATCTTGTATTCCTAGCCTTAAATATCATGATAATAAAGCTTGTACCATTTGTCATTTGGCTAAGCAACCAAGATTACCATTTCCTATAAGTCATTCCAAAACTTCTAAATGTTTTGATATGATTCATGTTGATATTTGGGGACCTTATTCAATTTGTTCTATTCATGGTCATCGATTCTTCTTAACTATTGTGGATGACTATTCTAGATTTACATGGATTTATTTGATCAAACAAAAATCAGAAGTTAGGAAACTGGTTCAGTCATTTTTTAGTCTCATAGAAACCCAATTTTCAGCTAAAATAAAGACCATTCGCACTGATAATGGTGCTGAATTTATAATGCCTTATTTCTATGCCTTAAAGGGAGCTTATCATCAAACAACATGTGTTGAGACCCCCCAACAAAATGGTGTGGTGGAACGTAAACACCAGCACATTCTAAATGTTGCTAGATCTTTACTTTTTCAGTCTAACTTGCCCAAAGAATATTGGACCTATGTAGTACTTCATGCCATTCACCTCATCAACAGAATTCCTTCTCCTATCCTGCAAAACAGATCACCATTTGAACTTTTATATCAAAAATTTCCTCATTATGATTCATTAAGAACTTTTGACTGCTTGTGTTTTGCTTCCACTTTACAAGCTCACAGAAACAAGTTTGATTTTAGAGCTAGGAAATGTCTCTTCTTAGGATTCTCATCTGGTACTAAAGGATTTGTTTTATTAGACTTGTATTCTAGAGATATTTTTCTCTCTCGTAATGTCTTCTTTTACAAATACAGTTTCCCTTTTTCAAAACCTGCAGATCATTCAGTACCCTTACCTCAACATTCAACAGTTTTTGACTCAGATCCTTGTCCTCCTAAAGACACTCCCTTATCTACTTCATCATCATTACCACCTGATAATTTTTCTTCTACTAATTCTCCTGTCTCTTCTCCTGTAATACCACCTGACTGTAACTCAAAAAGGTTGAGAAAGCCTCCTTCATACTTCAAAGATTATCATTGCAATATGGTCACTGCACCTAAACCTTCGGTCCCATAGTCAGGTACTACTTATCCCTTATCTTCTGTTCTTTCTTATTCCAACCTTTCACCAAATCAACTTCATTTTACCTTAGCTGTTTCAACTATATTTGAACCTAAGACTTATGCTCAAGCCATTAAACATGACTGTTGGAGACAAGCCATACAAGCAGAAATTACTGCCATTGAGCAGAATCACACTTGGACACTCACAGATCTCCCTCCTGGCAAGTCCCCAATTGGCTGCAAATGGGTGTTCCGTGTTAAGCATAAAGTAGATGGTTTAGTGGAGCGTTACAAGGCTCGGTTAGTAGCCAAAGGCTATACTCAAACTGAGGGTATTGACTATTTTGATACATTCTCACCGGTGGCCAAAATTACAACTGTCAGATTGCTTCTTGCTTTGGCTGCTGCTTCTCATTGGCATCTTAAACAACTTGATGTCAATAACGCTTTTCTCTGTGGTGATTTACTTGGAGAGGTATATATGGTATTACCTCCTGGTTTCAATTCTTCAAATCCTAGCAAAATTTGCAAGCTCCAAAAGTCCCTTTATGGACTTAAACAGGCCAGCAGACAATGGTTCTCCAAGCTTACTTCTGCTTTAGTTTCTTTGGGTTACACACAATCTTCATCAGATTATTCTCTCTTTGTTAAATATTCTGCTTCTTCTATCACAGTTTTGCTAGTATATGTAGATGATGTTATATTAGCAGGTAACAATTTAGCAGAAATTGATGCTGTCAAAGCTTTTTTAGATGATGCTTTTTGAATTAAGGATCTTGGTGACTTAAAATATTTTCTTGGCTTAGAGGTGGCTCGTTCCCAGTCTGGTATTGCCTTATGCCAAAGAAAATATGCTCTTAACATTCTTTCTGAAGTTGGATATTTGGCTTGTAAGCCTGCCAAAACTCCAATGGACTACACTTGTAAACTCACTCAAACTATTGGTGATCCCTTATCTAATCCCTCATCTTATAGAAGATTGGTTGGTAGACTGTTATATTTGACTTCTACACGGCCTGATTTGTCTTTTGCCGTTCAACAACTTAGTCAATTCCTTGACAAGCCTACATCGATTCACTAACAAGTTGCTCATCATGTTCTTCGATATATAAAGAGTTGTCCTGCTTAAGGTTTATCCCAGCTGAATCATCTCGTTCCCTCAAAGCTTTCAGTGATTCTGACTGGGCTGGATGTTCTGATACACGGAAATCTATCACAAGTTCCTATGTTTTCCTTGGCTCTTCCTTGATCAGTTGGCGTTCCAAGAAGCAATCCACTGTCTCTTGTTCTTCGTCAGAGGCTGAATACTGTGCACTTGCATCCACAACATGTGAAATTCAATGGTTTCTTTACTTGCTGAAGGATCTCCACGTCACTCACTCAGGCTCAGCTCTCCTTTTTTGTGACAACAAATCAGCTTTTCAGATTGCTGCCAATCCCACCTTCCATGAACATACCAAACACATTGAAATTGATTGCCATATTGTAAGACAGAAAGTTCAAGACGGTTTGATTCATCTCATGCCATGTTCTTCTTTAGATCAATTAGCTGACTTGTTCATGAAAGCCCTACCACCTGCTCAATTCCATACCAATTTATCCAAGCTGGGAATGCTTAGCATCCATTCTCTAGCTTGCGGGGGGATGTTGAACAATAAAGACGAAGTTGGTTAGCTGATGTTAAAGAATAAATACGAAGTTAGTTAGCTGTTATAGCTGAGTTAGTTATTGTTAAGAAGTTAGGTTCAAGTAGTTATTAGTTTGTTATAACGTTAGTTAATTGGTTATGTCAGTTAATATTTGTTAAGTTTATTGTAAGATTGCTGTATATAAAGAATACACTGCTATACTATGTTTTTTAATTCAAAATGAATTCAATATCATTTTTCCATATCTGAGTTAGTTTTATCATATTCCATGGCTGGAGGCAGCTATGAGACTGATATGACAATCAACATGGCACAGTTTGATCAGACTTGGGAGAGTTTGATGAATCGGTTGCTGAAAAAAGCTTCTACTGGCTCTAATAATTCTACAAATAAGTTTGAACTAGAGAAGCGAATTTGACTGACTTTGTGAAGATTTATGCACTCATGCGGTGTACTCCTGATATTTCAGAAAGTGATTGTGGTTCTTGTCTTCGTCAATCTGTGGTTTTCTGTGAGAGCCACTACCATGGCAAAGCAGGTTGCCTTACTGTGAGACCTAGCTGTATTTATAGATGGGATTCGAGGCCATTCTATGTAGCCTCTCCTGGTGCTCCATCCCCATCTCCTCCTCCTCCACAGTTAACGTATAAGGAAATGATCACAAAAGGTATATATATATATTCACAAATATAATTAATAAATGTTTATTTTAAATGATAGGGTCAGATCTATGTATAAGCATATCACCAGGAACTCTCAATGAAACTTGAATTCTTTTCATTTTTCTTTGTCCAATTGATTATGACAATTCAAACATTAGACCTTTGCTTCTGATATTATGTTAAGTTGTCATCCCAACTAAAAGTTTAAGCTAATATGTGGGCCTCAATATTATATTAGTCCAAAAAATATCTTGCTGAATTTTTGTATTTTATATTGGATGATGTCAATAAACCAGCTATAGCACCAACTAATATTGAAGTTTGTATTTTTTGTATTTTTTAAATGGACATATGGCATGAAAGATGGATGTGTATCTTTCATGATAAATTCCCTAGCTAGTAGATTTCTTAGCATCATCATGGGTTGACAATTTTTTTTTTTTTTTTTTTTTGGTTTGTGCTTATATACGCAGAGAAAGGAGGCATTACATCTAAGACCGTTTTTATCATTGTTGTTTCTACGGTTATCTCGTAGCACTTGTGCCTTCACTTGTTTCCTTCTTTGGAGGAGAACAGGAAAGACAAAGCGAATGATGGGAGGTAAGCGAGCAGTAGAAGGTCATACATTACAAGAAAGTCTCTATAGTATGTACATTCTATTTACATCCAGCTAATCATGCATGACGAGTGCGATACTATAGTGGTATTGTTGATGTGGTAACATAAATAATGCATACATGCTAACTGGTATTGCATTTAATAACTACAATCACAATTAATCAATCTAAAGATAGATGAGAGAAAATACTCAGAGGTGACACAAATTCACTAAATGATAATATGAATGATTGGGTACCTCAATGGAATTCTAGATTTTTTCTGTTGTGTTCATGATTGGTTAAGTGCATAGATGATACGCACATCAAAGACTTTCTAATTAGTAGCTGTAGTTTCTAAATTTAGTTTTAACAAATACTTTACAAAGAAGATTATAACTTAATGGAAAAGGGTCTTTTATGAAATATCTTAAAATTTAATCTTTTTTGAAAACACTCTTAATTTTTAACATTACATGGAACAATAATATGCTTATAAAATCTTCATACAAAGATGTATATAAAAAGTGCTATGAAAAAATGTAAGTGATACAATGAATATAAATAATCAACTCATTAATTGATATGTAAGTTAAATAGTAATGCCACATCACTTTGTATTTATTTCTTTGTGAAGAGTAATGTTACATGTACAAACTAATTATACAAATTATAACTTATAAACTAATGTGACAAACCCATGTGTTTAACACATCATATAACCTAATTTGTATAAATCATCAATAATTTTAAATCATCCAATTACATTAAAACACATTAGTATGTATGGGTAAATTTGTATGAGGAGTTTTCACATATGGTATTATTCCTTTCTAAAAAGACTTTGTATGTATAGTATTACTCTATTAAATACACTAACTCTACAAAATATTAGTATAAAAGTAATTTCAAAAGCAACCGTCATTAGAAAATAGAAGACATATTTTTTATGACAAAATCTTCTTTACATCAGACTCCAATCATGAGGTGAGTGTATCTTGCTTATAATGACATTTGTAGGAAAGATTTTTTTAATTTTTATTGGGTTAGGTTAGAGTAACTTAAAATATTTCTTAAATTGGAATACATTGGTAATAGTTATGGATATGAGAAGGAAACTGAAGGTAGTTATTTTCTTTACCACCTCATCAACTCCTAGCCGTTTGAGAATATTTTGAATCAATTGCTAAAAAACTGTGTCAAAATTTTAAGTTGATGTACTGTAACCCTTTTTATTAAACCATCTAAAAGAGGTTATATATTGAGAATATTTTGAATTAAAAGACTCTTTTTGAGCATCCTCTAAATGTAGTTTTGTACTAGTTGTGGTTATATAAGAGCAACAACTAATTAACTCAACTGTGTTATTGTTGTTTTTAAGACGATGATAATGTGGAATCCTTACAATTTGACTTCAGCACTATCAGAGTTGCAAAAAATAATTTTTCAATTGATAATAAGCTTGGACGTGGTGGATTTGGTGTTGTTTATAGGGTAAGTAATTAATCACTAACCAAAATTAATGAATATCAATTGTTAATAAAAATGAGTTAAATTATAAATTTTCTTTTCAGGGTAGGCTTCTTGATGGACAGGAAGTAGCTGTCAAGAGGTTGGATATAGGTTCTGCACAAGGAGAAACAGAATTCAAAAATGAGGTCCTCTTGATGGCCAAACTTCAACATAGGAATTTGGTTAGACTTCTAGGATTTTGTTTGGAAGGAAACGAAAAGCTTCTCATCTATGAGTTTGTGCCAAATTCAAGTCTAGATAACTTCATATATGGTATAATTAATTCCACTACTTTTGGCTTTCTTTGTAAGAAAAGAGTATATTAATTCCATTTAATGTAATTTACTTATATGGCATTGATGAGTTTGTAGATCCAACCCAACATTTATTATTGGATTGGGAGATGCGATACAAAATCATAAAGGGCACAGCACGAGGAACTCTTTATATTCATGAAGATTCTAGGTTTCGTATCATTCATCGTGACTTAAAAGCTAGTAATGTTCTTTTAGATATTGACATGACTCCAAAAGTTTCAGATTTTGGAATGGCAAAGTTGTTGGCAATAGATCAAACTCAAGGCGATACAAGTAGAATTGCCGGGACTTTGTAAGTATTTATAAGATTAACATAAACAACTCAAGAATCGTCAAGTTTATTCTATATGCAAAAACATAATTAATAATAATATATGCTTATGATCAAAGCATGATACGTTGGTTTTGTTACAAAATAAAATTTGATTGAGTCCAATTTTTAGTGGGTATATGGCTCCAGAGTATATAAAGCATGGACACTTCTCAGCCAAGTCCGATGTTTTCAGCTTTGGTGTGTTAGTCCTAGAAATCATGAGTTGTCAAAAGAATAGTTCGTTTCCTACCAAAGAGGAACCAGAAGATTTATTAACCTACGTAAGTAAAATTCAATAGGAATATTTTTCAAGTTTTCCGACCCTTTGAGTAATATGTTAGACTTAAATATTATTGTTGTACACTTGATAATGGTTTTAATTTTTGGATCAAGTGATAAGTATTAATGTGGTCATTGACCACGTTGTCTTTGTCAAAATTTGTAGGCATGGAGAAATTGGATTGAAGGTAAAGCTGCGAATCTAATAGACCCCAATTTGAGTGCTGGCTCCAATAGAGATATGATGAGATGTATTCACATTGGGTTGCTTTGTGTTCAAGAAAATGTAGCCAATAGACCTACAATGGCTTTAGCAGTTCACATGCTCACTGGTGGCACACTTTCCCTGCCAACACCATCAAAACCTGCATTTTTTATGCACTCCGGCACAACAACAGATAATTTAGAATCATCGGCATTGGATCAATCAAATAATTTCCAGTTTTCGTTGAACGAGGCTTCAATTACTGAACTTAGCCCTCAATGATGCCTGTAGATTGATTTTGTATCTTTAAGCTAGCATATATATGTGCTTTGCTTTGACTAACTTTTTTTTTTTTTTGGTTAAATATAGTTATATGCAAACACTATTTTTAAGTTCCCCTGGCTAACATCATGATCCATGCATGAAATCTTTTCGTATAAATTATCTAAGAATGAAAAGTCAGAGAAAAGTTATAATTTCATCCAATAAGAAGAATTACATCATTTCTGAAGGCTAAAACATGTCTTAGCTTTAACATGCTAATTTAGTAATATAATATTTTTTTATTCATTTATTTTGTTCTTTTAGTTTATTTCATTTAAGACAATTTAGTAATATATATTTTCATTAAAAAAAGGGGCTGTGAAATTGAATTTTGGGAGTACATGATATACACCAACCCGCTTAAGAAAAAAAAAAACCTTGTTTAATTTTAGGATAATATTACGTTGATTAACGAATCTCACAAACTTTCCATCACAAACCCGACGTGACACTCCCACCACATCATTGGACGATGTCAATAGACAGGAAAAATCCATCAAAAACTAATTGTAATTTATGTGTGTCTAAACTATACAAAGAAGACCTCTATATGTAGAGGAGAAGGCCAAAGTTAATAAGAAAATAAACTATATGGAAAGATTCTAACCTAGCATAATTACAGGAAATAATAGCTTAATTACAGGAAAAATTATATATTCTAAGGATATCATAAGATACTAATATATATACTAATATTTAATTACAGGAATAATCATATATTCTAGGGATATTATAAGATACTAATATACTAACATCCCCCCTCAAACTCTTGGTGGCGAAGTCAACTGGAGTTTGGAAACAAGATTACCAAGTTGACTAGGTGGATGAGATTTTGTAAAAATATCAGTAAGATTATCTTCAGAAGAAACTGAATGTAACTAGAGGACACCCTGCTAAAGATGATGGTAGATGAAGTGACAATCAATCTCAATATGTTTAGTACATTCATGAAACACATCATTATGTGCAATCTGGATGGCACTACGATTATCATTGTGAAGAGCAGAACGTATTGATTGAGGAACACCTATATCTTTCAGAAGCCAGTGTAACCACAAAAGTTCAGATGTCGTATCAGCAAGAGCGCGATATTCAGCCTCAGTGCTAGAATGGGCAACAACAGACTGTTTCTTAGTACTGTTAGACCGGTCGTCACGGTCACAAAATTAAACCTAAATACCGTAGTTAGCGGTAAGCAGGGTCGAATCCACAGAGAGCAAGACTAACGACCTAATGTATATTTGAGTTAACGAAAGAGAAATTGACAAAATGATTGATTAAACTAAGGAAACTAATTACTTGCAAGAAATTAAAAGGCATTAAATAAATTGCTAACTAAAACACAATATTAAAAGCGTTGTCGCTACGGGTTCGGTTTGACTCAAGACCAACTCTCACAATTCCTCTCCTCGCTCTTCAATTTCCTAATCCTACAAGGCTAGGCAAATCAATAGAAATATCTCCCGGCAATCTAGGCATAATCTATCCTGTCTCCCCGTCGTCTTAGTTACAGATCGATTGGTTAAAGACTATCATTGACTAACCGAAAAATGCTAAACCCTTAAACACCACTAGTTGGTACAACGTTAACAAGTACAACCTACTAACTTGTATCATCCAATCAACTAATTACACAATAAATGCATTCCTAGTAGAAATGATATTAAACGCTACTACAACTTGATTGCAATCAGTACCGAAGCAATTTAAAGTCATAATCAACATTCAATAATCTCAAACCGACATTCAATTATGCAAAAAGTTATATATCAATAAACGTTCTCAATGGACATTATCAATTCAACACATCGAGCATCAGAATAATATTAAAGTATCGCAAACAAACTGAAACGAAAACAAATATAATCTGAATACAAGAAACTTAACCAAATATCCAACATTCGGGCTCATCCAACTAGTCGAGAGCTGATGAGGAGATCAATGGAGTCAATCTCGATCTCGCCTACACCGTAACGGACAACCGGGAACTTAGCCGCTCATGGTGGTGATGACGGAGGCTGAAACAGTGGAAACGGAGCTGATCATGGCGAAGAGGAGGTAACCGACAGCGATATGATGCGAAGAAGGGCCGAAAACGACCAACGGACAGCCCGGAATACGAACAGCCGCGGTTCGCCGGAAAACGTTAATTTTCCGGCGGGTCTCCGGAAAACGGTGGCGGAAATGGGATCCGAAGGTACCGATGGAAAGCTCTGGTGATGGGGAGTTCAGATCAGGTCCTGGGGAGGTGAGAAGTCGCCGGAAATGAGCAGGATCTGGGCTGGAAGATGAAGAGTCGCGGCGGCTAAATCACGGATTCCGGCGGTTTTCGCGGCGGCTGAAGCTAGGGAAGTGTAGATCCGGCTGTGGGGAAGGGAGATCTACCCTTGGGGAGCTGGAACGTCACCGGAAAATGGCCAAAACTGGCCGGGAAGACGAAGAGTCGCGGTGGAAGACGAAGCGTCGCGGCGTGGTGGTTCTCGGTGGTGGTTTGCCGTGGTGGTTTGCCGTGGCTTTGACGGGATGATGATCTGGGGTCGAGGAAGATGAAGCGTCGCCGGAGGTCGCCGGAAATGGAAGATGAAGGGTCGCCGGAAAAGTGAAGATGAACAGTCCCCCTTTGACGCGATCTGCAGTTTTTCTTTTATACCACATATTGCAAAATTTCAGTTTAGTCCCTGCACAATTAAAAAGTGACAAAATCAGCCCCTTAAAACATGACATTTTACCCCCTAAACAGCATAAATGAGACAAAATCACCCTTAATCCATAAACCACAACCTAATATCAACTCATATACTTTCCAAAATCATTCCAAACACGTTAAATTCATAAGAAAAATATTAGGAAGCGATTTTCGTGAATAAATTCATAAATTCTTTAATTATCTCAATATACTTCAATTTAATCACACATGGGGTATTTTTATCACCAAAATAGAGTCACTTTCATGACTCTAACAAGTACCCCATGAAATTAAAGAAGTACCAAGTAAGAAACTATAACCAGTGGTGGAGTAATGATCAATAGGATAACCAGCCCAATCTGCATTAGAATAGGCTTGTAGCTCCAGAGAGGAGTGGGATGAGAAGCGTAGACCATGAAACAGAGTACCCTTGATGTAGCATAGAATTCAAAGAACTGTAGCAAAATGGGTAGATCAAGGTGCACTCATAAACTGACTGACTAGATGAACAACATATGAAGTGTCAGGCCTAGTTACAGTAAGATAAATGAGACTGCCAACTAACTATCAATAAAGAGTTGCATCTGCAAGTGGAGAACCGTCAGTGGCTAGAAGCTTAGTATTATACTCAAGTGGACTTGTGGCTATCTTGCTGTTGTCAACCCAGCTTTGGAAAGTAAATCAGAGGCATATTTTGCTTGAGTGAGATAATATCCATCTTGATTTGAAGTAACTTCAAGGCCAAAGAAGTAGTTAAGATGTCCCAAATCCTTCATCTCAAGATTCTAACTAAGAAAAGCTTAAAGATCTCGAATTCTAGCAATATCATCACCAATAATAATCATATCATCTACATAGAGAAGAAGAAAGATAGTACCTATCCCAGTAGTGCGAAGAAAGAGTGCAGAATCACATGGGCTAGAAAGAAAGCCTTGTTGAGAAACCACTGACTGAAATTTCTCAAACCAAGCTCGAGGAGCTTGTTTGAGCCCATAAAGTGCGCGACAGAGATGACAAACTTTATATGGAGGATGCTCATAGCCAGGTGGAGGCTGCATGTAAACTTCTTCAGTAAGATCACTGTTAAGGAAGGTGTTTTTAACATCCATTTGAAAAAGTTCTCAACATCGGACAACAGCAACAACAACTGCAAGTAAAGATCTGACAGAGGTAAGTCTAGCAATAGGAGCAAAAGTCTCCTCATAGTCAATCCCATAATCTTGGGTAAACCCCTTAGCAACAAGTTGAGCCTTGTAGAGTTCAACTGATCCATCTGCTCGAGTCTTGATTTTATAAATCCACTTGCATCCCACTTCAGCTTTACCATGAGGCAAGTCCACCAGATCCCAAGTATATGCGTTGACAAGAGCATTCAATTCATCAGACATGGCTTGCTGCCAAAGAAGGTCAATATGAGCCTCATGATAATTGTGAGGTTCGTGGAGGGTGGCAAGGACAGAGAAACAATGATAATCACGAAGATGAGTAGGAGGAACACTTACCCAACTGGAATGACAAGATTCATGGAGGGGAGAAGACGGAGGAGTGGGTGGTATGGCAGGTGGTCCATCAAACGCATCAACTAGATTGGGTGCAACAATGGAAGAACTGTCTAAGGAGCTCTGAATCTCTGCAGAAGAGTCAGAAAATGGAGCAATAGAGGAATCAGTGAATATGAGTGAGTGGTTAAAGGAGGAAGGGGAGAACATGGATATGCTAGTAAATGGTTTGTGTTCCCAAAACTCTACATGACGAGATACTCGAATACGTTTAGAGATAGGATCATAACAACGATAACCTTTTTGAGTTAAGCCATAACCAAGAAAACAACATAACCGAGAACGGGGTTCAAGTTTGGTTAGTTCATGAGTAGGAAGAGTAATAAAACAACCACAACTAAAGACAGAAAGTAAGGAATAGTTAGGAACCATACCATAGAGAAGCTCATTAGGAGATTTGCTGTGAAGTATAGGTAAGGGTACCCGATTGATTGTGTACACAGTAGTAAGAGCAACTTCACTCCAAAAATTTTCAAGTAAAGAAGCAAAAAGTAAAAGAGCTCTTACAGTGTCAAGGATATGACGATGTTTTCATTTTGCACGACCATTTTGTTGAGAGGTATAGGGACAAGACCGATGTGACAGTGTGCCTTGTTGATTCAGGAACTCATGGAGAGTTTTGTCATTATTCCATGGCATTATCTGAACGAAAAACTTTAATGGTATGAGAAAATTGAGTTTGTACCATTTTGTGAAAAGTTTGGTAAACACGA